TCACCACACATATGACACCGTTTCACATTCGATACGCTTTGAAGTCCTAGCCTGCTTTTCTCCCCTGTGGAAACGCGTTTTATGGTGTCTTCTTTCTTGTCCTGGATCTTCCTGTGGGACTTCATCTCGCTCTTCATATCTTCAAATTGAGAAAACCTTTCCTTCAGTTGTCGGATAGTTTTCGCTCCATATAAAATAGATTTCTCAACTGGGTCTTCTGGTATTCCCTCTATTATGTACTTTATTACGGTTCGAGGTTCCAGATCCGCTTGGCTGGCTATCTCGAGCATCTTATACGTATACTCTTGATACGTTTCGTCGTTCCTTTTATTTCGCCTGGATAACTCGCGGTGAACCTTGTAGCTATCCACCACTTCCTCAAACTCGCTTTTTAGCGCGGATTTTAAACTTTTCCAAGTCTTACCGCATTTTTCGTATCGGACGAAGAGCTTGGCTGAACCAGTGAGAAGACGTTTTGCATAAGCCACCTTCTGAACATCAACCCACTGACACAATTCTGCCATCTCCTCGAAATCATCCAACCACCGAGTGACGCTTAGTTTTTCATCACCACTGAACTTTTCTAATGATTCTTCCACATCTCGAAAAGTCAGGGATACTTGTTCACGTGTTTGCTTCCGTCGGCAACCCGTCTTAGTCGCTTTGGGAACGTCTTCGTCATCTTCTTCGTATTCACTTTCGCTATCTTCTTCGTCTTCACCTGGTTCGACATAATCATTCGTAATAGCCTCATTGTTCATCATCAGTGCAGTTCGGAGTCGCTCCTGTAATTCCTTTTTGCTTCCTTGCGTAGACAGCTCCAATTCTTCCAACTTTTTCCGTAAATCTGCCATCTTCATCTTCACGATATCGCCCTGGTTATCACTCATGATTCCAAACTTCTTAAATAGTTTGCAACAATTTCTAATTGTTCAAACTCTGATGAACCACTCGCGATATACAACCAATATGCCTTTCTTCTTTTAAACACTACCGATTAGCGGCTTCACGTTACACTATCGATATCCCGGTTGAGCCCCCAAAATATGTAGGGATTTAATTTGATAGCATAAACGTTACTCAAAATCGTAGTGTCCTTTTTTCTTATTTATTTACAAGTATATACAGAGCTGATATTTACAAGAAAACATACGCGATCCTCGAACAACCTTCTTCTTTTCAATCTGAACAACGACTTCCTTAACATCAATCACCAACTTCCAAACGCGCTACCTGCTACCCCCATGGGTAGAGTACCATAAAACTATAAATCGTTGTTCGAGCATTCGCTGTCTTTATTCATAACATTTTAAGTAACATCTTATTTTCTACTAATACCTAACATGACTTTATTAATTAATTCTACACGCTCTCGATACCACAAATGTTAACGCATAAAACGAATTAAAAAAAAACTAAATTTATGATGCTTTTGAAAAAAATTCATAACGAAAAATCCAGACGTGATAAAAAAAAATGGCCATCGGGAACAGATTCATACATCAAAATCTTTATATTTATGACAAATTTTTTTGAAGGAGGATTTTGTTGCAGACCAGTGTTATGGACGGGAAGCTTGAGGGTATAGCTTACTCTCCTTAGAATATAGTTAGTCCATGCTTCTCATTGTTTCATTTAAAATAACGATGTTGATGTCAACTTTCGGAATAACCGGAAGTGCTACATAGATGCCGTTATTATAATTGAAGAGAAATTTAAATTAAAATAGTTCCCGAAATATTCTAATGGTTGGTCACCATGAGACACCCTATACCATATACAAATGACTTTTGTCTTATGCTCATTCATATATCATAATATTGAATGAAAAAAGTTTCACTCCCCTCCCTTTATAATAAATACCGAGAAAACGTACGACAAACTTCGGCTTTCACGCAAGTATGAAAGAAACATTTATCCTAACTTCATAACAAATGGGAGGAGCCTAAAAACATGGCGCCGATTAGGGAAAATTTATCGTAGTTCCTATAGTCTACCGTGCAATTTCCAAGTTTTTAAATTACGATAAAATGATAAGTATTGACACAATATGTGATTGGGCTGACACAAAGCCTCGGAAAGGAAATTTCGTTGAAGGTGAGCGTGTTTTTAATGCCAATCACATTATAAAATTCGGAAATAACAAATCCGGAAGCTAGCCTTCAAATTCCGTCAAGTTTACTGCCTACTTTTTACAAACTTCGGATTTAAAAAGTGATTCACGTTATATAATTGGTGAGGTGATTCTGGGTGATTTAAGCAATATCATATCAATGACTTGCACGTGCAAAGCCGATTTAAGAGAACGTTGCAAACACATTATTGCAACTTTGTTGTATTGCAGCAGGTAGGTTCTTAACCTCAAAATACTTATATCGTATCATTAGAATTGTGTTAAATCAATTACACAGGAATAAATAATTTCTCACTTTATAATTTTAGTATGATTCTAGTTTTAAATATTAAGGTTATGGCTGATGGTAAATACTTGCTGAAATATAATCATGTGCATTAAAATGACGTGAACAAATTTTTATTCCGGAATTCACTTCTTTGATACCTACTGCTTTCATCCAAGCTTCTATTAGTTTACTTTTTTCTCTAATTTTCCGAATATATTTTTTACATATATAAAACGGTTAGTTTTTATTGGAAAGTAGTTAATGTAGGTGAAGAGTGAAGATCTATGTCTGAAGTGCTATTGCAGCTTTTCACTGAACATATTAACTTTTTATTTGATTTAACTTTAGAAGAAAACTTCGTCGACTCCATCATCAAAAAAATTTTTGCTTTTTTAACGTGTTTTATTATTTTAATAAACAATTTTACGATTTATGTATACCATTCCCTCGGATATTTATCCCTCATTTTAGTTACAAGTTTTGCTACCAGGTGGTGTATGCCCATTTGACGGATCCCAATAGGCTTTGCAGTTCTTGAAAAAAGTTTTTTTCCGTTTTTTTTTATATATCTGGCAAATAAATTAATAGTATCAGGTTAGTACTAAGTAGTACACGACCAGTTGAGAACTTGTAATGAATAAAGGTGTTGAAGTAAAACTTAGTAGTTTTGTGCGACGTTTCATCGACCTTCTACAGGAACCCTTCGAAAATCGCAAACAAATAGCGACTTGCATTTTTGCTTTAGACTTATTTTACTACACTACCTGTTTCTACTTGCCAATGATTTTTCCGAAAAATTTAATTAGTTTTTTTAGTATTTATCAGTGATACGTATTACTAAAAGCTAGAAATTCAACCATAGATTTTGGGATAAAGTGTCACCTAATATTGTATAACAAAAGTTTCAACTTTGTATCTTAACAATCTTCACATTTTATTTTTGCACATTTTTATCTTATTACTTCGAGTGCTTAATTTTATATTTTATTGAAAGCAATTAATAAAAATTCATACAGAATCATGTTCTCTGAAGTTAAGTCTTTTTAAAAATAAATTATTTGTACATTTGGTTGGCAACAAGCAAATGATTTATTAGCTATGTCGTACAATAAGTACATAAATACTCATCCATTTTTCTATTTTGATATGCTTACATTACAAGGACAAAGGAAGTAAGTAAACATATGTCTATTAGCTATAAATTCGTATTATGAAAACATCGCTTTAGAACATTTAGAAGCAGATAAAAAAAATAATGAATGTTTTATTATAGAGATTTCACGTGGAGAGTATTGGTCAGGAAGGGTTTGTTGTCCTTTACCCCAAAGTGAGACATGTAGAAGAACGTGCGTAACCGCAACGTCTTTGGAAGAACTTACTTACAATCAAGGTTGTCGACAAAGCGACGAGTTGGCCTTCTTCAGTTGTCTCGAACGTCAAAGCATCGGAGAAATGTGTTGTGCTCACGCAAGAACAAATGAATGCAGAAATTCCTGCTTCGAAATTTTCAAAAACCATTTAACGCCCACAAGACAACAACGTAATGCCGTGGTTGAAACCTGTCAATACAACAGTCCAAAAGTGTTAAACTGCGTCAAAAACTATACCAAAGTTACACCGGTTGATAACATACACAAACGTAAGTACATCCTATTACTCTAACAGGTATTATACTAATCTCACATGAGCATGTCGATTCATTTTAAAAACAATTCTTTCGATTCGATTCGATTCGAACTGAACACACTAGAATCGATTCTCAATTAAATAGAGCATTAAAGGATTGATTCTCAATCAATCGAATCGTAAGTTGTTTTTCTTTGAATACGTATCAGAGCCAGCGCCTGCCAAGACCTACGTTAAAGTATTATTTTTTTTTGTGCGTCCTCACCAGTATAGGGAACAATCGAATAAAATAATTCAAAGTGGTCTGTATTTTGTCGAAACTGCCAGACGCGGATCGCGATTTCGATCTTTTTTGATCTCATCAGCCCGACAGAGCACAGACCAACTTTTACCTGCTGTCTTAACAGCGCGTTTTAGAAAATACCACAAATGGCGCGGTAAACGCCATCTATAGTATGATGCTACATTTTAGGATTACGTATGCTCCAACAAGGTTCATTTAAATATATGGATATCTACATGCTGAAACGAATCCCGGCGTAGCTAACCTCAACGTGATAGGCACGTTACCATAATCGAATAATACCGCGTCATTTGTGGTATTTTCTATAGGGAACAATGTTTGGGGGTTGCCAATTTTCCTATCACATAATATTAGGGTCACAGTATATGTATTATATAAACTCTCTCACGTTAAAGTGTAAATGCTGAAATTTATATGACGTCTTTAAATAACTATTTTAAGTCAGACCAGTCAAGATGAATGTGGAAGAGTATTAGTGCAGTTGAAAATTAATATAAATTTTATTCATATATATATATATATATATGATTTAACAATTATTTTATAATAATGTTAAATCAAACAGACACATGTAGACAGGGGCGCAACAAGGGTAGGTCCACGGGTGCCCGGGCACCCACTCGATTTGGGTTGGCCACCCAGTGAATTCCAGTCGATTCAAATAATAACTCGGTTCAAACAGTTTTTAGCAGTTTATAGTATTATGATGAGAGCAGCCGAACTTGATTTTTTCAATTTTTCCAATGATTTCCATTAATGACCTTTTTTTTAATCATTTATATATTATGATGAGAACTTTTTTTTTGATGACCATCCAGTCAAATTGTAATGTTGTTGCGCCCCTGCATGTAGATATTGCAAGAGTTGAACATTCCCTTATCTTCCACTAATTATAAGAACCCACGAATTCACATTTACACGATTGAATGCGTTCAATTTAAGATATCTTCAATACTTATACGGCCACACAAATGAAACAATTGTAGGGCTGACTATGTATAATGTATGTTTTTGGGGTCGCTAAACCCAAATGCGCGATCAATTTAAACCCAACACATCAATGTTTGGACATAACTTCAAAAAAACACCCCAGAATCCACTAAAACCGTTGGTCATGATAATCTCAAACGATTTTAAACCTCAAATTCCCCAGATCAAACAATTTGTTTTTGTGTAGCCTGTGTTATCAATTGGAGACTTTTAGGGTACATTAATAAAATGTTTTGTTCTTTGTATAAACGTGTTTGTGAAGTTTTCATTCAATACTTCTTAATGCAAAATGCAATGTGTACGGGCTATTGTGATTGAAATACAAAATAAAGAAGGATATATAATGATTTGCAGTTAAACATTTATTATTATTTATCTTTTTTCATCCTGAATAAGATTAAAAATTAAAAAAAACTAGGTACATAAAGATAATCGCATGCTTTCAGATTTACAGTGCTGTGATAAATCAAACAAGAGTAAATGCCGAGAAGTTTGCAAAAACGTACTTACCTCAGACTCATCATCTCAGGAGATCATTGACAGTTTACAAATAGGAGGCTGTGGACCGCCTCTTTTACAGGTAACACAGAAAACTCGCATGCTCTCTCATTGTTGTATACTGTTTGTTTCATTCGAAGCTGATTTAGGACCACTTCTGGCAATGTTTTCTTAAACCGGAATTAAACGTAGCTGTCGCAGCTGCATCTTCCTCTAAACTATCCAGAATTGATCGCGTAGGAATGGATTCTGCAAAATGGCATTGTTGTCAAAGATCATCGAGCAACCAGTGCCGAAAGTTATGTTCACGAACGTTCACTAAAGATTGGACCACGTCTTGGGACGAATTTCATATTAAATGCCTTAGTCATAAAGGAGAAGATGAACTTCGAAGTTGTATTGAAGAGGGTAACTTAATTAAAAATGTTGTATTTAATTAAAGCAATCTAATCTAAAATTATGTTTCTTTTTTTAGTTGACGAACCATGTGAATTGGGTTGTGATGGTTTAAATTTCTGTACAAACTTCAATAACCGACCCACCGAGTTGTTTCGGTCTTGTACCCCTGAAGCAGATGAGGCCGCAAGAAATGATTTTACATTGTGGCAAAGCCATAACGAGCTAGCTCTACCAGGTCTTTCCTTACCGCTAAAAAATATATCACAATGTTCTCCGGATACTTGGAAAGCTGTAGCTTGCACGCTTCAAATAAAACCATGTTCTCGTCACGATCCAAGCGATGCACTTTTGTGTCGCGACGTTTGTCTTCAAGTGCTAACACGTTGTGCCGATTGGCATGCCGTTTCGCCTGAACACACTGCTGAGTCTGTGTGTAATGCATTATCACCTTCTAATAATAATAATAATATTGATCTATCATGCGTACCACTACAAAAGTACCTACATCCATCCGAAAACAATTACCAAAGAGTAGACGGACAAGTGTCATTTCCATGCAAAGGTGATCCGTGTGAACCCAATGAGACTTGCACAGTAAAAAATTATAACGAATGTACGAAAGATGGAGGTGGTTTTTGCCGAAAGACACTTCCTGGATATACCTGTACTCCCGGCTGCAAACTAGGAGAGGTATCTGAGTATGCTGTTCCCTCTGGAATATTCGTACGAATCCCTATTCCGAACAATCCTAAGGGATGTTTAAAAATATGTCAGTGTTCTGATAAGGGGAGGTTCGTGGATTGTCGGCCGCTTCCGTGTGTTCAATTAAACAATTGTTGGATGGGTGATGGTCAACAAAAGGAGCATGGAAGCACGTTCGAATTGGATTGTAATACTTGTAGCTGTTTTGCAGGAGAGATTGTTTGCAGTAAAAAGCAATGCCACTTATCAACCAATGATGAAAATCACGATCTTACAGAAAATTCTGCAATCACATACACAACACTACCCTGCAATTGCCCACCACATTATGTTCCCGTTTGTGGACGAAACGGAGTAACCTACCCTTCGTCCTGTTTAGCCAAGTATGTATAATATAATTTTAAAAAATAATATATTGTCAATAAACGTACTAACAATAGAATACAACAAAAAGAAGTTTTGCACATTATTTCTAAAATTCGACGAAAGCACATATTATTACTAAATTAACAGTTGCACGCCGCACGCAACATCATTTGCCTGGGTTTAACATTATTTAAATAAGTTAATGTTGAAATTATAAATTGTTATCAAAGAACAATTTTAACGACCCAAAAAAGATATTTAGATCATTTCAGAAAATGTACCATTCAGGTTATACGTATTTCTAAATAAAAACAAAATATGGGTACGTACTAATTTGTAACCCTTTTCATGGAAATATATTTATATAAAAATATTCTACATATCTATAGTTTTAATGCTTTATAAAGGAAAAGGTGAGCCGGTGAGATAACCGATAATTAAAGATTCTGGAATTAACTGACAATACAGCCCCTAATAAAAGAATAAAACTAACTAAATAACCCAACTTCCCATGTTTAACTTTAAATATTTCATTGACCGTATACCAGTCCTTGATAGAATAATTATTGTTAAATAATTTAATTAAAATATAATTCCTGGATTTAAACTTGATAATATACAAAAACACTAATATAATTTTACATAAGAATTTTCTTCTATAGATGTGCTGGCTTAAACGACGGAGACTTGGACTACGGAAGCTGCGGCGATCCTTGCAAGAACCATCCTTGTCCTATCGGTCATAAATGCATCTCTAATCCGCAGATTTGTTTGTCATTAAAGCATAAACCGTGTCCGCAATACCAATGCAGTGAGTATTCTTTTATTTATTGAATCTAAAAAACTTTTGATTCTTGTAACCATTTTGAATACGAAATTAAACACACAGTTTTATTTACATATAATTCGTATTGGTCAAATAAATGATTTTTAACTTACACTCTGTGTTTAATTCCGGATTCATTTATTCATTCGGAATCCTATTTAAATTCTTTCTGTTTTAAATGAATGAGCTACTGTTACGCACTAACTTAGTAGTAGTTTACCTTTTTTAAAATAAAAATAAAACCATAAAATTACTTTCTTATTTTGTATTTTAAATGCCTTTTGCGTACAAATATTACGCATTTGCATTTAAAAAATTTGAAAGTACTCAGTAAATAAAAGTTACATTTACTTAGTAATTTTTAACATCTGTGTCTGTATGTACAGTATGGCGAGTAGAAGAGCTCTGACCTTTACGCAAAACCTACTCGGAAATAAAGGGAGAACGTATTCGGAATGAAAAGGATGACATGTATGCACAGATTTTACTAACTTATGTAGTAAGTCCAAGAAGGAATCGAAGTAACTGCACTGCAATTTCCACTGCAAATATCGTTTGCAAAAACGTACTTACCTCAGACTCATCATCTCAGGAGATCATTGACAGTTTACAAATAGGAGGCTGTGGACCGCCTCTTTTACAGGTAACACAGNTTATAGTCCGTGGGACAGAGCGCCTCTTTTTAAATGATTAATACATAGTTGCAACTACATGAGCGGTTTCCATTTCCTTTCGCAGAGTCTAATTATTATCTTCTCAATTAACGAAACTTTATTTTTAAAACGATTAATTTATTATTTAATTGCAAAAAGCTTATAGTTGAAGCAAGCGACTTCTCTAATGTAGAGACTAATAAGAAGTAACAATTTTATTATTACATATTGGAAAGATGCAACACTAATCCTAAAAATGCATAATCAGTAAAATACGTTCTCACGGTAACATCTCACGCTCTTCAGTTGTACATAGGTTCAGATTAGGAAGGGAGTCAGACAGGGATGCAGACTGTCATCGCAACTTTTTAATCTATATATTCGAAGACGCGATCAATATCATTAAAGACAGTACAACTGTAGGGATAGATATACAGGGGAAAAGGATAAGTATGCTTAGATTTGCAGATGATATAGCAGTATTAGCATCTAGCAAAGAGGAGTTAGGGAAAGCGTCAAATAAAATGGAAGCAGTATTGACAAAATAGTAGTGTATGAAAGTAAATAAAGGTAAAACAAAAATACTGGTATGCAAGGGAAGAAAAAGTAGGGGATGAGCGAATATAAAGATAGGAGACGACAAATTAGAAGAAGTGACCGATTTCAGGTATCTAGGAAGTCAAATAATTCAGGGCGGAAGGAGTAGTAGGGATATAAAGCAGAAGATGGAGCAGGATCTTCAATAGAAAGGAATCACTTCTATGCTTGCGAACGGTTAATATAGAAATTCGAAAAAGGTTGTTCAAAGTGTATGTTTGGAGCACGGCTCTGTACAGGTACGAAACATGGACAGTGGGCGCAGCGGAAAAGAAAAGGTTAGAAGCGTTGGAAATGTGGTGTTCCAGGCAAATGATGAGGATACCGTAGATAGAGAAGGTTAGAAATGAAGAGGTATTAGAAAAAATAGGAGAACAGAGGACTATGGAAATCAATAAGAAATAGGCGAGATAGGTTAGTAGGACACCTTCTCATGCATGAAGGTCTAGTCGAAGACATATTAGAGGCAGAAACCGAAGTTAGGAGGGGTAGGGGTAAACCTAGATTAGATTACTGTTCGCAAATAGTTAATGATGTGGGTTGTTCTAGTTTTAAAGAAATGGGAAGATTAGCTCAGGATAGGAAACAATGGAGGTGCATGTCTAATAATCAGTCTTAGGACTGACGACCTTATGATTGTTATGGATGATAGTAGGATTGTACTGTATTTTTATAGGATATCTACTTGTTTAATTGAAAATGAAACATTTAATTGCCAATGACTGCAAATTTTGATAAAACAAATCTACTTATTTATTTCACAAATGTTTATTTATGCTTATTTAACTGGCATGGTATCCATATCTCTGGTTTCGCTTTATTATTCGCTCACATGTTCATATATCAACGGACTTCCTCTAGAATCAGCTGTACATTTATATCATCGAATTTTCTAGATTATATATTTATTTTTCTGGTAATCTCTTGAAATTCTTTTGTTAGACGGTCGTTTTGCGTGTGATTTATTTTGACCGTACTCTCACTTTCGACCGACAAATCAGAGCTCCGTTTTATCGATCCTTTGTGTCGTCATGTACGTGACAATTTATAACTTCTGTGGTCGCCTTTATTTATTAATTGCATGTTTGTAATCCTTCGAAACGACTTATCTAACATTCCGGAAACTATTAATCAGTGCAGTTGAGACAATCCCACGTTCTATGCACCGTGAGTGGCTGAGAGCAAATGACTCGCAGAGAAAGAACATCTACTGTGCATCTATGAGCGTAACTCAGCCAGAGCCACATCTTACTTTAGCTGTATTATATGATTTGTATTTTAGCGTAGCCCTGCTAAAAGACACTATATAAAAAAAATGTTGCTCGGAAACAATTCCAGAAATGTATCATTTTGAATCATTCTAGTGGCCAAATAAATAATTCCAGTTGAAGTAAAACTGTAATTACTTTCTATACCCTTTCTACATCATAGTTATTTGAAAATTGTTTATTGCTCTTCTCAAATGACTGAACTGTTTTTTTTCTTTGAATTATTTCTTTTATATATTATTTGTTTTCAAGGTAATACTTGTAAAGGCTAATCCTCATTATTTGACCCAACGTGCAACAAAAACTGGCTCATTCATAAGGCGTCTTGTATAATATAACAAAATCTATAAAGCCATACTAAAAACCTCATTAATAACTGGGAAATAATCCAACTTAGGATAGTCCCAAAGATGAGTACTCAAGAATTATCATTCGTACTATAAGTACTAGTTAACCAACACTGCGCATTTTTGCTTCACTCCCCATGCTGACAAACGCAGATACATTTCGATTGTCTAAAACATTCAGCTAAAGCTCATATTTTTTTACAAATTAAAAATGTTTGTGAATATTTTGTTAACGTCACACGTTGTTGCAATAGTATCAACTCGTATACAACCAGTCAGCAGGTAATACGAAGGAAAAGTTAGTCAACAAGTCACTCACTTTTAACATTTTTAATAGAAAAATGAATACCGCTATCTGTAGTGATTTAGGACGAGCAATATTCGTTTGAACCCCACTTGTTGGTTTTCAAAATTACCATTACTATAAAATAAAACTTCCAAAATTCATTAAATTTCAGTCGTTTAAATAGAAATTTCAAGTATTAAATATTTTGAACTTTAGTACCGAGAAGTGGATTGTAATTTTTTCTTCATGTTAAGAACGCTATCGGAAACAAATTTGAAGATGATGTTACGAATTTTTTTATACATATTCATTATTTTGCATATTGTATTTACAATAGGAAATCTTAATATCTTTATGTATTATAATAGTTTATGATTTTTAGTTAATGGTACAGCCAATTGCAAAGACCTTCCATTCGAACCCGTATGTGACATAGATAATAAAGAATACGGAAACGCATGCCTCCTAGCACATCATAGTGGTAAACTAGCTTACAGAGGTCCTTGTTTAAAGAAATGTCGTTCGTTGGGAGAAGTTTGCGGTATAAATGGTCGCACCTATACTTCAGAGTGCGCAGCTTGGAGCGACTTTACTTCGGTAGACTATAAGGGGCCCTGCGTTGCTGTAGGACTCATGTCTAATGGTAACAATCCTGGTCCACGGCAATGTGATGAGTCCATCCAATGTACGCCCCTTCCTGATATTACATGTTTCGGTACTACTCCACCTGGTGCCTGTTGTCCCATTTGTGCAGGTGCAATTAGAATCTTATATTCCAAAAAACAAGTTGACCGTGCATTGTATATTTTTTTGCAAGAACAACGTTCGGCTTCATCCCTTACACTACAAGCGACACTTAAAGCCCTTGAAAGGCAAGTCCAAGTAGCACAATGTGTTCTCAGAGGCTACCTAACTATCGAACTTGACATATTTATTTTAGTTCAAACAACTGAAAAATATCCATCTGAATTACAATTAGAAGCATGTGTTCAAGAAGCGGAAAAAATTGCAAACTTGATTAACCGGCAGAGTCCAAGAATAGCTAGCGAGCTCAGTTTAAGTTCATTAATAGCCGCTACTGTTGTACACTCCCGATTTGCTACTTCTCGTGGCTGGGCCGTGGGAGTAAGCAAAAATCTAGTCCTAGTTTTCAGTACGATCTTCGTTGCCATAACGTTTTTTTAAAAACATAAAAAGTACAGTGTGTAGATGCATTTCCAATTGTAAATTTTACATTCTGCGCAACCTACTTGACAAATCAAATTATATTTATAAGCATATTTGTTATATTTGTTGTCAGATAAGAGCTAATGGAGATGAAATGGTAATTTGTAAGATATATTATTTATATCCAAAGATTTTAACTCACATATGCGTAGATTCTAAGGTAAGTAATTTTGAACGCCATCCTTATATTTTTTTCTGCAGGCTTCTTGTCATTCTATTCCATAACATAATAAAATAATAACTACTGAAATCATTGTTTTACAAAAAAAAAAGAAACAACATTCAACACTAACATTAGTGCGTTCTTAAATTAAATATAAATGAGAAGGAAATGCTATAATATTGCTATAAAATGACGGAAAATAGTTTCAAATGAATGTTTAGAAAGTAGATTAGAACGTAAGCAATGCTAATGAATAGGTACCTAATAAGTGAAATTCCTTATTCCAAAAACGAACAATTAGTCTGTTTCGTAACTAATCACTCAACTACGGCAAAATCAAAATAAAGGTAGGACGTCATTATATATCGGTATAATTGTATGTATTAATATTTACTTTATTTATTAATTTTCAGTCTAGAAATGTGTCAATCTTGATGAATAAATATCGTTAGGAAAAACGTTTATTCTCTAAACTGACAATTCCGTTTCGCTTACAGGTTCAATTTTTTTCAAACTACATCTGTTAACCAGTAATTGTTCTCCCAGATGTCTCGAATGACATAATATTCTTAAGATGTAGAAACATTAACTCAAAACGCACAGCTGTATAAATACAGTACAAATAGTTTATATAAATGTTTATAAAGATGTACAAACATAATCCACAACTCACAATTCCATAAATAAAATAATAAACCGAATAAAAAATTAGAAAGCAGGTATTTACAAACACGCGTCACATTTAAAAGTATATATACCTTCAGAAGTCTTACCACCAAAACAAGAAACATCAGTGTCGGTTTGGAGACTAAACTCTTTTTATAGGATAAAATAATTAAAAATTTCTCATTCGTAGAACCAAACTAATTTTCACAGACGAATTCAATTGTGTTTCAAACTTTTTGACGATTTTTTTGTGTTGTGCAATTAAAGGCGATTTTCGTTTTATTTTGTTTTATATCTAAAATAAATATATTTTTACATTAGATTGAAGTAAGTAAGCGTATTTCACATTTAGCTTAATTCTTTAATTGTATCAAAGATACTCCTCTTAGTTAATTTTGTATTTTCTTTGTAGTCAGAATTCTCTAATGATTACATTGAAAACACTATACCCATTCAACGTAGCTTACTTACGTTCTGACCAAATTTTTAAACTGATTAACGCTCACTCAATTAATATTGTTTAATTTGAAACTTTTTTGGTTTGAGGCCAATCAAATTCCTATTAGTTTCACGTTCCGCTTCATATAGCAGTAATATTTTTTTTATTGTAATGTATTTGTTTATATTAATTGAACGGGTTTTAACTACCTACCAAATCCTTCCTTATAACAACTTTCTCCAGAAGTTATTAATTAATGTATTTGAATTTATTTTGGACAAGGACTGTAAATACTTTCTATACCCTTTCTACATCATAGTTATTTGAAAATTGTTTATTGCTCTTCTCAAATGACTGAACTGTTTTTTTTCTTTGAATTATTTCTTTTATATATTATTTGTTTTCAAGGTAATACTTGTAAAGGCTAATCCTCATTATTTGACCCAACGTGCAACAAAAACTGGCTCATTCATAAGGCGTCTTGTATAATATAACAAAATCTATAAAGCCATACTAAAAACCTCATTAATAACTGGGAAATAATCCAACTTAGGATAGTCCCAAAGATGAGTACTCAAGAATTATCATTCGTACTATAAGTACTAGTTAACCAACACTGCGCATTTTTGCTTCACTCCCCATGCTGACAAACGCAGATACATTTCGATTGTCTAAAACATTCAGCTAAAGCTCATATTTTTTTACAAATTAAAAATGTTTGTGAATATTTTGTTAACGTCACACGTTGTTGCAATAGTATCAACTCGTATACAACCAGTCAGCAGGTAATACGAAGGAAAAGTTAGTCAACAAGTCACTCACTTTTAACATTTTTAATAGAAAAATGAATACCGCTATCTGTAGTGATTTAGGACGAGCAATATTCGTTTGAACCCCACTTGTTGGTTTTCAAAATTACCATTACTATAAAATAAAACTTCCAAAATTCATTAAATTTCAGTCGTTTAAATAGAAATTTCAAGTATTAAATATTTTGAACTTTAGTACCGAGAAGTGGATTGTAATTTTTTCTTCATGTTAAGAACGCTATCGGAAACAAATTTGAAGATGATGTTACGAATTTTTTTATACATATTCATTATTTTGCATANTTTGTTTATTATCCAATTATAAATTATTACTCTTAAAAGTACCTACTGGGTACTGAGGCCTGAAATATTGAAAATCTAACTGTTAAGGGAAGTTAGTTTTTTTAATATAAATGAGAACAATAATGATTCAATTTTTTACTTGAAATTAATAAAATTCGTTTTAACTTTTCCGTTCCCCAATGCAATGATGGCATTCATAATCTGCTCAAACCAAAGTAAAAAATAAAATAAAAAATAATTGCGTTTATAAATAGTCTGTTTAATAAGCTCATATTTAAAACACATACCTATAAACTTCAACTTTTGTGGCAAAAATATCAACATTTCCTCTAAAATAAGTTTACACCTACTTCCGGTATAGCTGGAAGTGAAAGATGAGCGTACATGCATTGCCTTAAACAATCCTATACGTAAGTAAGGAAGAAACGAGATAAATGCTTTTAGTATACAATTTCTAAGAAATATTTTTAAATTCCAACCTACGTTATCATTCGATTACTAAATTTTAAATAAAAAAAAAGAATAAAACAGGTTCTCAATATGCGATATACCTATGTGTAAAGCATTTCATCGTTAGTGTATCTTTCAATAAAAGAAAAGAATGACTTAATAGAAGAACCTCTTCTGACCAGCATCAAGCAGTTTGCTGTTTTATGCTTCTACAAGTTTGGTATAACGGAACAGTTGTAATATCAAAACTGTATAGCATTTAGGTAAAGTATATAAATATAATAGAATCGTCGTGTCGTTGCGAGTTCGTGTAAGAAAACAAAGGTGTACATACGGAGGTATCTGACCAACGCCAACGGTTACACGCGAAAGTGACAGTTTTTGCCCGACAACGATCGCTTATAAATATTTTCGCCTTGTCGTTCGCCTTCTAGATTGAAAGCTGTAACAATTCGACTAGAAGTGACGTAACGTTAAGAACGAAACTAGCAATCGGCTTTTCTTCAATTCGGGTGAACGTACAAAGATAAACTCAATTGGGTCAGTAATTTACCGTATGTACTTGACTGAACTATAATTGTTTGTTATTAGTGAGAAATCGAAACTAATAGTGCAGTGAACTTTGCAAATATTCAATCAAAAGTGAATTAGAATAAAAGTGAAATTAAACCATGTAAATGCCGTTATTTATTTTGGACTTTTGTGAAAGTAAATTGCAACTAACTACATAAGTGAAAAAAGTGGCACGTTACAAACGCGATGTGCCGGGACATTCGACAAACTGCAACAAACTGTCGTATTCAGCAGCAGTGAATTTTTCATTTAGTTACTAAACGCGTTTCTTCCTTTTCGTAAGAACATGTCGCATATCGCGCGAACACTTTTTCCGCTAATTTGGCTTACTTCTTCAACTGTTTGCTTTTCTGTCGTGGAAACATCAAATAATGTATTTGTGAAACAGCCAAATTATCATGTAACGGAAATCGGGAATGGCGGATCTTCTTCATTAAGGACACGACATATTAACCTTAATAACAATAAGAACGCTAATAAGCCTATTATAAAAACTGACTTTCACATTGTACCATATGTTACTACTTCTTTGGCCGACAGCGATCTAATTTTTGATCCAGTAACAAGTCAGTTTGTTTCTCGAAAGATCCCCAAACGGACTTATCCTAATCACACCGGCAATAAGAAAAAGTTGACTGATTACTATAAAACCATTGTATACCAACCGAAGATCAAAGCTAACAAGCAGAAAAGCAGCAAAGGCATGTCGAATACGTTGTCAACCAACAAAATAAAATTTAAATATCGTGATGTGCAGCCACATTCATTCTCTCAAAAGATTTCGTTTTCTCCAATAATTTATCCTTCAACGGATGCCATAAAACCAGAAGCAAATTATTACAGAAACGTAATATCGCAAAAACCTTATAAGGACAATAAAGCTCACGAACCAAACCTATTTCTCAACGATTTTCTTAGCACCAGACCAACTGTAATCACGAAAACAAAGAGTAATAATGGAGAACTAAAAAGTGATCATGAAATCCCAAAATTTATACCTGTAAAACCTATTTACCCTGGTGAAGGCAAGTGGGCTCTCAGAGGCAAAAAGTACAAACCGTACGATAGTAAACAAATATACTCAGAACTTGAAGACGCTACAGAACATCCTGAAGCAGAAGCCATATTTCAAGGTACCAAAAATATATTCAACGAACAACAAAAAAAGTTTCCTTACAACTTTCTAGGGCCAGCAACGCATAAATCACAACCCCCAACTATTTATGGTGAAGGCAGGTATAATAATAATTACAAAAATATTCAACATCCATCTTTAAAGAGAAGTGAAGTATCGGCTCAAAAAACTGTAAAACCTCCAGAAAATATACACAACGTAGAAAAAGCTGAAGAAGCTTCAGAAGAACAAGAGCAAGAATTTATACCCACCCGGACACTTGCTCAAGTCAGGCAATATGAAAACGAAGAACATAATTTACCACCGATTGAACCACGTCTAAGGGAAATTATTAAGGATTCCAAAACGCATACTGTTTTTACAGAGGAAGGTTACGAAGACATGGCTTACGATCATGCAAATCACGAGAAAAACGCAGAAAAAGGCGAGGAATCCGAAGAACTCCATGAAGTGCAAGATATTTTAAAGGAAAAATCTCCAAAACAATCACCTGAAATAAATAAAGAGGTACTACACTCTGAATCTCAACATACGTCCCAAATCATGAATCCAGAATCTCGAAATAGTTCATCCAAAGTGATGACAGAAGTATTAAATAATACCGAAAGTAGTCTCAACAACAAAACATTACATACCACGGACACGAGCCCGATTACGGAGAAATTTAAAAAGGAACATGGATTTAGAATCCGAAGGAATAGTAATGATGACGTTGTTTCAGTGAAAAATAGTAAATTAGATGAAATAGAAAATTCAACATATGATTCTCAAAAGTACCCATACTACAATCAATTAAACGTCTTTTCTTTGAATAATAATTCGCCTTTACGTTACGCAGAAAATTTCAAAAACCGTCCCAAAAAAAAGGTCGGAAAAATGTCATTTTATGAAGACGCTCAAAGAAGAAAATGTCGGGAAATAGAGGATTTACAGCCAATCCCAAAACAAATAAAAGATCGAGCAGATGGAAAAGATCACGAAACACCAGAAGATCCACCAAAAAGCAATGCACCTAAATTAAATAAATTGGGCGACGCAATAGAATGTTTTAAAGAACAATTATTTGGGGAAAGTCCACTGGATAATCCTCTCTTTTCCGAAAAGTCCATAGCAGAACCAACGCCAATATTTCAAGATCTGCAGTCCTTGGGAATATTTTCATTTTCTAATACCAAGGAAATTAACACTTTTAAAAATAAACGAAATCGACGACATTTAATAGACCCGGCCGCATTAAAAAATAATGATAATGAACTAAATATACTAGAAAAACTACCTTTACATGGGCGAAGAAAATCAGTAAAAAGAAGAATAAAATCTAGGAGAAAGAATCCACGAACGCCTTTTCCTGGATCAAATATACAACAGAAGCAGCATTCCACTGAACCATCACCTACGGTACTTCCTAAATATAAAACTATTAGTGAAGTTCAATACAAAGATGATATTAAGCCGAATGAACAACTTAATGTATTCACAGATATTATAAAAAATATAAAACTATCTTCGGAAAATATTCATGATACGAACGCCAAAACTTCAGATAAAATCAAAATTACAACTTTTACTGCTCCCAAGAAAAATAAACAAAATATTAGCTTCCAGACAGTTTTCGAAGATGAAGGAGACTCTATTTCTGACAGTAGCGATATAAACACATTCGTGACTTATCAGAAACCAAAGTCTGATTTTCATCGTCGTAAACAACTTTTAGATGAAAATCCTTTTTTCAAAGATCGTCAAACTACATCTAATGAACTGTTTCATAAATCGCCAACTGTAACTACGGTCAGAACAAACAACTTCATTTTGGGCTTAAAACCACCTCCCCCTTTAACTTTTGCATCCCCGTTTCAGTCGACAAGTACCTTAAATCGTAAATACTATACAAATAAAGATCCTTCACGAAGATGGAATCACAGGTTATTAAAAAGAAGTGCTGCAATGCCAACTTATTCCCAAATTCGTAGAAAAACTACCGTAGAAACAACTACAGAAACTGATGAGTATATTCCAAGAAGAAATAGAAATTATCATTACGACGAAAAAACAGGAAAAATTATTTACTACACAACACAAGCAAGTTTAATCGAAGAAATCGAACCAGTCATTACTGAAGAACAATATACCTCACCAAAACGAATCACTACAGAAAGTGCTGTAAAAATTACAACAGAAATGCAAAAATTAAAAGGCCCATCGTTTTTGGAATTCGTCTCGAAATTAAAATCTCATGAAGGTTACGTTTCTATTCCAGATCCTAAGCCGGTAAAAATAGAAAAAGGAACATCAGAGACTACAACAACTGAAAAACCTGCCAGTACAACAGAGCCAGAATTTTTAAAAATTCTTAAAATGGTCAAAAGTAATCCAGATTACAAAGAAATTGGCAAAAAAAATGTAACGACAACAACCTCCATCTATGAAGAAGAACAAGATTATACTGAAGGAGAAGAAGTCTTACAATCGCAAAATGTACCAACAAAAAATTCACCCGGAAGTTCATTAATGACACACATTGAAAATAATCCAAACAATACTTCCCTTGAAATTGGAACACTTAAAATATTTGATATTAACGAGTACATACCACGGCCAAGAAATTACAGCTTTGTATCGTTTGTAAACACTTCTAAATACAGCACAATAAAAAGAAACCCTGTAGGTACAAATAAAGAGGACGAAGATAGCATAAAAAGTGAAGATTCAAGGACTGAAATAGAAAATAATAAATTACGGACAGTAAAATCCGAATCAAATAAGACAGAAGAAACTACAAGATCAACGGTCGAGCATATAAATGAAGCTTCTAATGGGGATAAACTACCTTCTATGAGGGTGCATGAGAAGCTTGTCAAAGAAGAACCTAAAAGTAACAGTCGAAGACTTCGAAGCAAAATAAGAAATCAAAGAATAAACAGAAATGAAGGACAAGACAAGATATTTCGACATGAACCAACTTCAGAAAACCCAAGTGAAGAAAAACCTAAACGAAGCGTTCGAAGATATAGAGTCAGACCAAGATTTAGTAACGAAACAAAAATTAATGGAGAAGTAGAAAGACAAAGTACCAAAGAAATCCAAAATTATGGAAACATCCGTAATCGGAGATCGTGGAACAGCTCAGAGGGAACCCACTTTGAAAATTACGAAAAGAGAATTAGTAGAAGACGTCGCGAAGAACCAAGATATGTGACTGAAAGTGAAACTGTAGATCTAATAAGTGATAGTGCAACTACAATTGTCCCAGAAACTACAGCGCCTACCATTCGAAGTCGCGGAAGAACGCGTCATAGAACCTCTTATCGAACCACTCCAACTCCTCGATATAGACGTGGACGCAAAACAAAGCCTATAATTGCCGCAACTACTGCTTATCATGCAGAAACTGTAACAACTCCTTATTCTGCTGCTTCAAAACGACGACGTCGTCCTATTCCAAGAATGTCATCATCGTCTGCCCCTCCACTACAGATAATTCCTGCAGAAAATGGTTCAAATACCTCAAATCAAAACGAGGAAGCATCAACAGAAACTTCTTCCACACCTTTAACGTTAGAAAGTGTTGAACTTGAAAGCAAACAAAATGAAAACAATACAAACACTGGTGATTTTAGTCATGTTTCTGCCAGAAAAGTGCAAGATGTTGAAGTATTCAAAGATTATGATAAGACGCAAAAACACGGTGGAAATTACCGAGGCATAAATGACCAAGATGTTATAATTCAAAATCCTGATGAAGTGGAGGAAGCGAAACAGTCGATGCAAAAGGATAAGGTCACCGAAGGTCCACTAGTACTTGATTTCTATCCAGCTGATAAAGAAGCGCAAGAAGATCGATATCAAAATAGAGAAGAAAGAAGAAAAGGGCATAATCAACGAGATGGAAGTAATCAATTACAAAACTATGACAAAGAAATAAATAGGAGCACTTTTGATAAACAGGAAAATTTAAAAGACCAAATCAAATCATATGAAGTTGTAGAAAATAGAGAGATACAAGATAATTTCAAAGAAGAACCAGTAATAAATGACGCTACAGACGGATATACTGACAAAGAAGAAGGAAACATTCAATCAACTCGACCAAGAGAAGAATATCTAAACGAAAGAACCGAAAGTAGAAGGGTGGGACCTCAAATTCCAGCTAATCAATTTTTTGGACAAGAAGAAATTTTAACAGAGATTGAAACAACAACAGCAACAGCGGCATTTTTTCATTCAACATCCTCACCGTCCAACGTCGATGAAAAAAATGATAAACTAGTGGTACAAGTATTTGATTTACCTAATGCACAAGAAATACCAATATCCACTGCAAAAACAATTGAACTAGATACACTTGAAACAGCATCCTATTTCAGCGGAGACGAAATAAAACAACAATCACACCAACAACAGCTTTCACCACACCAACACCAACAAAAACAACAGAAGCAACATCAACAGCACCATCATCATCACCAACGGCGTCGACAGCACCTTCATCATAATCATCAACAACAACAACAACAACAAAAACAACAACAACAACAACAACAACAACAACCACAACAACAACAACAACAACATCAACCACAACCACAACCACAACCACAACAACAACAACAACAACAACAGCAACCACCATCCCAGCATCAGCCGTCACAACAACAGCAGCAGCAATATGATCGAAATGAAAGTAATGAAACTTACTACAACAGTAACTTTACACCAACAAAAGCTGCAGACGAAATAGAAATGTCGAGTATTTCTCCTGATTACGTACTAAATAGCGGAGGGATAAAGTTTACTGCTAAAGAATCGGCGTCATTAAAATTAAATAATGACGAAGCATTACCTAAAAAGGCAGTGGTTGATTTTACAGATCCGCCTACTATCCATAGGACTGTCAAAAAACGTATCAGAATAAAACCCAATAACTTTGATTTCACCACTATCACTCCTGACCACGAAGAATATAAAAACCATAAAGGATCAGTTTTAGTTGAAGATAATGTAGGAAGACAAGAATCAATTAAGGAAGAAACCAATCATCCTCGTAATGTTGAAATCGAACCAACATTACATCAATTTGAAAATGTAAATGATACAATTCTGAATCAGAACACTGAAGCTAGCACAAATTTATACAATAATAATCAGTTTGATAGAGTACCCGTCAAACACCACCAACAAAACAATCGCAGTGATTATAATAAACAAGAAGTGTTTTCAACTTCAACCATAACAACACCAATATACCTTGACTCAAAATATGTAACAACAATGCCTGATATTCAACAGCAAGAAGAAATTGAGGCACCTCCTGAAACATTTTATCAAGGGAATAAAGGAGAACAATTACCATTTTATTCGCCGAGAAAAGAACAACTACCAAAAGATCCCTATAACTATAGACGAATCGAAGAGGAAGGTCCAAATGTACCAGTAAATATTCAACACAATAATCATAGACCTGTAAAAAAGTTCAAAAATTCACCTGAGAGGATCAATGGAATCGTATCTTCTACTGAGAAATTCTTTTTCATAAAGGATCCGAGCAAGAGAAACTATTTTTATGCCCCTATTTAATTTACTACTTTCGGCATCATTAGTCAAAAAAATACCAAATAGAAAATTATCATAAATTTTAATTGTTGTTGTTTTTTATTTAAAAAACGTTCTTGTAACTCTAATACTTATTTATTATTCATTACGTAAGATTTATAAACGTGTAGAAANCCGCGTCTGGCAGTTTCGACAGAATACAGACCGCTTCGAATTATATTATTCGATTAAGCTAACGTGCCTATCACGTTGAGGTTAGCTACGCCGGGATTCGTTTCAGCAAGTAGATATCCATATGTTTAAATGGACCTTGTTGGAGCATACGTAATCCTAAAAATGTAGCATCGTACTACAGATGGCATTTACCGCGCCATTTGTAGTGTTTTCTAAAACGCGCTGTTAAGACAGCAGGTAAAAGTAGGTCTGTGTTCTGTCGGAGCTGTCTGCGACGCGCTGATGAGATCCAAAAAGATCGAAATCGCGATCCGCGTCTGGCAGTTTCGACAGAATACAGACCGCTTCGAATTATATTATTCGATTAAGCTAACGTGCCTATCACGTTGAGGTTAGCTACGCCGGGATTCGTTTCAGCAAGTAGATATCCATATGTTTAAATGGACCTTGTTGGAGCATACGTAATCCTAAAAATGTAGCATCGTACTACAGATGGCATTTACCGCGCCATTTGTAGTGTTTTCTAAAACGCGCTGTTAAGACAGCAGGTAAAAGTAGGTCTGTGTTCTGTCGGAGCTGTCTGCGACGCGCTGATGAGATCCAAAAAGATCGAAATCGCGATCCGCGTCTGGCAGTTTCGACAGAATACAGACCGCTTCGAATTATATTATTCGATTAAGCTAACGTGCCTATCACGTTGAGGTTAGCTACGCCGGGATTCGTTTCAGCAAGTAGATATCCATATGTTTAAATGGACCTTGTTGGAGCATACGTAATCCTAAAAATGTAGCATCGTACTACAGATGGCATTTACCGCGCCATTTGTAGTGTTTTCTAAAACGCGCTGTTAAGACAGCAGGTAAAAGTAGGTCTGTGTTCTGTCGGAGCTGTCTGCGACGCGCTGATGAGATCCAAAAAGATCGAAATCGCGATCCGCGTCTGGCAGTTTCGACAGAATACAGACCGCTTCGAATTATATTATTCGATTAAGCTAACGTGCCTATCACGTTGAGGTTAGCTACGCCGGGATTCGTTTCAGCAAGTAGATATCCATATGTTTAAATGGACCTTGTTGGAGCATACGTAATCCTAAAAATGTAGCATCGTACTACAGATGGCATTTACCGCGCCATTTGTAGTGTTTTCTAAAACGCGCTGTTAAGACAGCAGGTAAAAGTAGGTCTGTGTTCTGTCGGAGCTGTCTGCGACGCGCTGATGAGATCCAAAAAGATCGAAATCGCGATCCGCGTCTGGCAGTTTCGACAGAATACAGACCGCTTCGAATTATATTATTCGATTAAGCTAACGTGCCTATCACGTTGAGGTTAGCTACGCCGGGATTCGTTTCAGCAAGTAGATATCCATATGTTTAAATGGACCTTGTTGGAGCATACGTAATCCTAAAAATGTAGCATCGTACTACAGATGGCATTTACCGCGCCATTTGTAGTGTTTTCTAAAACGCGCTGTTAAGACAGCAGGTAAAAGTAGGTCTGTGTTCTGTCGGAGCTGTCTGCGACGCGCTGATGAGATCCAAAAAGATCGAAATCGCGATCCGCGTCTGGCAGTTTCGACAGAATACAGACCGCTTCGAATTATATTATTCGATTAAGCTAACGTGCCTATCACGTTGAGGTTAGCTACGCCGGGATTCGTTTCAGCAAGTAGATATCCATATGTTTAAATGGACCTTGTTGGAGCATACGTAATCCTAAAAATGTAGCATCGTACTACAGATGGCATTTACCGCGCCATTTGTAGTGTTTTCTAAAACGCGCTGTTAAGACAGCAGGTAAAAGTAGGTCTGTGTTCTGTCGGAGCTGTCTGCGACGCGCTGATGAGATCCAAAAAGATCGAAATCGCGATCCGCGTCTGGCAGTTTCGACAGAATACAGACCGCTTCGAATTATATTATTCGATTAAGCTAACGTGCCTATCACGTTGAGGTTAGCTACGCCGGGATTCGTTTCAGCAAGTAGATATCCATATGTTTAAATGGACCTTGTTGGAGCATACGTAATCCTAAAAATGTAGCATCGTACTACAGATGGCATTTACCGCGCCATTTGTAGTGTTTTCTAAAACGCGCTGTTAAGACAGCAGGTAAAAGTAGGTCTGTGTTCTGTCGGAGCTGTCTGCGACGCGCTGATGAGATCCAAAAAGATCGAAATCGCGATCCGCGTCTGGCAGTTTCGACAGAATACAGACCGCTTCGAATTATATTATTCGATTAAGCTAACGTGCCTATCACGTTGAGGTTAGCTACGCCGGGATTCGTTTCAGCAAGTAGATATCCATATGTTTAAATGGACCTTGTTGGAGCATACGTAATCCTAAAAATGTAGCATCGTACTACAGATGGCATTTACCGCGCCATTTGTAGTGTTTTCTAAAACGCGCTGTTAAGACAGCAGGTAAAAGTAGGTCTGTGTTCTGTCGGAGCTGTCTGCGACGCGCTGATGAGATCCAAAAAGATCGAAATCGCGATCCGCGTCTGGCAGTTTCGACAGAATACAGACCGCTTCGAATTATATTATTCGATTAAGCTAACGTGCCTATCACGTTGAGGTTAGCTACGCCGGGATTCGTTTCAGCAAGTAGATATCCATATGTTTAAATGGACCTTGTTGGAGCATACGTAATCCTAAAAATGTAGCATCGTACTACAGATGGCATTTACCGCGCCATTTGTAGTGTTTTCTAAAACGCGCTGTTAAGACAGCAGGTAAAAGTAGGTCTGTGTTCTGTCGGAGCTGTCTGCGACGCGCTGATGAGATCCAAAAAGATCGAAATCGCGATCCGCGTCTGGCAGTTTCGACAGAATACAGACCGCTTCGAATTATATTATTCGATTAAGCTAACGTGCCTATCACGTTGAGGTTAGCTACGCCGGGATTCGTTTCAGCAAGTAGATATCCATATGTTTAAATGGACCTTGTTGGAGCATACGTAATCCTAAAAATGTAGCATCGTACTACAGATGGCATTTACCGCGCCATTTGTAGTGTTTTCTAAAACGCGCTGTTAAGACAGCAGGTAAAAGTAGGTCTGTGTTCTGTCGGAGCTGTCTGCGACGCGCTGATGAGATCCAAAAAGATCGAAATCGCGATCCGCGTCTGGCAGTTTCGACAGAATACAGACCGCTTCGAATTATATTATTCGATTAAGCTAACGTGCCTATCACGTTGAGGTTAGCTACGCCGGGATTCGTTTCAGCAAGTAGATATCCATATGTTTAAATGGACCTTGTTGGAGCATACGTAATCCTAAAAATGTAGCATCGTACTACAGATGGCATTTACCGCGCCATTTGTAGTGTTTTCTAAAACGCGCTGTTAAGACAGCAGGTAAAAGTAGGTCTGTGTTCTGTCGGAGCTGTCTGCGACGCGCTGATGAGATCCAAAAAGATCGAAATCGCGATCCGCGTCTGGCAGTTTCGACAGAATACAGACCGCTTCGAATTATATTATTCGATTAAGCTAACGTGCCTATCACGTTGAGGTTAGCTACGCCGGGATTCGTTTCAGCAAGTAGATATCCATATGTTTAAATGGACCTTGTTGGAGCATACGTAATCCTAAAAATGTAGCATCGTACTACAGATGGCATTTACCGCGCCATTTGTAGTGTTTTCTAAAACGCGCTGTTAAGACAGCAGGTAAAAGTAGGTCTGTGTTCTGTCGGAGCTGTCTGCGACGCGCTGATGAGATCCAAAAAGATCGAAATCGCGATCCGCGTCTGGCAGTTTCGACAGAATACAGACCGCTTCGAATTATATTATTCGATTAAGCTAACGTGCCTATCACGTTGAGGTTAGCTACGCCGGGATTCGTTTCAGCAAGTAGATATCCATATGTTTAAATGGACCTTGTTGGAGCATACGTAATCCTAAAAATGTAGCATCGTACTACAGATGGCATTTACCGCGCCATTTGTAGTGTTTTCTAAAACGCGCTGTTAAGACAGCAGGTAAAAGTAGGTCTGTGTTCTGTCGGAGCTGTCTGCGACGCGCTGATGAGATCCAAAAAGATCGAAATCGCGATCCGCGTCTGGCAGTTTCGACAGAATACAGACCGCTTCGAATTATATTATTCGATTAAGCTAACGTGCCTATCACGTTGAGGTTAGCTACGCCGGGATTCGTTTCAGCAAGTAGATATCCATATGTTTAAATGGACCTTGTTGGAGCATACGTAATCCTAAAAATGTAGCATCGTACTACAGATGGCATTTACCGCGCCATTTGTAGTGTTTTCTAAAACGCGCTGTTAAGACAGCAGGTAAAAGTAGGTCTGTGTTCTGTCGGAGCTGTCTGCGACGCGCTGATGAGATCCAAAAAGATCGAAATCGCGATCCGCGTCTGGCAGTTTCGACAGAATACAGACCGCTTCGAATTATATTATTCGATTAAGCTAACGTGCCTATCACGTTGAGGTTAGCTACGCCGGGATTCGTTTCAGCAAGTAGATATCCATATGTTTAAATGGACCTTGTTGGAGCATACGTAATCCTAAAAATGTAGCATCGTACTACAGATGGCATTTACCGCGCCATTTGTAGTGTTTTCTAAAACGCGCTGTTAAGACAGCAGGTAAAAGTAGGTCTGTGTTCTGTCGGAGCTGTCTGCGACGCGCTGATGAGATCCAAAAAGATCGAAATCGCGATCCGCGTCTGGCAGTTTCGACAGAATACAGACCGCTTCGAATTATATTATTCGATTAAGCTAACGTGCCTATCACGTTGAGGTTAGCTACGCCGGGATTCGTTTCAGCAAGTAGATATCCATATGTTTAAATGGACCTTGTTGGAGCATACGTAATCCTAAAAATGTAGCATCGTACTACAGATGGCATTTACCGCGCCATTTGTAGTGTTTTCTAAAACGCGCTGTTAAGACAGCAGGTAAAAGTAGGTCTGTGTTCTGTCGGAGCTGTCTGCGACGCGCTGATGAGATCCAAAAAGATCGAAATCGCGATCCGCGTCTGGCAG